TAGGGTGATCTAATTTGATTTTAGATTAAGTATTCATTCTTGTCATGCAAACCCTATTACCAAACATCTAACAGTTGTATAATTTGCAGAAATTAAAGGTGCGGAAAATAAACTAAATTATTACAAGGCGTCGGGTATTTACATCGTCAAAAGCAACCCTTTGAAAATAAAATAAAGCAGTAAAATAAATGTCCTAATTAATTATTACATACCGGAGGCAGATACATCAATTGGATAAAGAAAAATAAAGCGCGAGGGAAATTAAATCGAATGCGTATTAGGGTTTTGACCCTTTTAAAAGAAAATGCTTTTTTGTTGTTTTTATTTTAAGAAAAGAAATTAAATCCTAAAATTAAATACTAAATTAATTATTAAATTAATTAAATGGAAAAAAAAATTAATGACATGTTTTTGGAGTTTTTGTTAATTTAAGAAAGAAATTAAAATAATTAAATTAGAATTAAAACCTAATGATTTCTAATTAATTTTAAATATTTACAAAATAAATTAAAGTTATTCTAGAATTAAAAACCTAATTGATTAGTTAATATTTATTAACAAAAATAAAGTTTTTGAATTTTAATTGGGGTAAAAATATTTTTTGGTGATTTTTGATAAAAAAAAAAGAAAATTTGTTTATTGGTTAGAAATTAATTAAAACAAAATAAAATAATAAATGAAAATAAACAAAATAAAGAAAATAGAGAAATTGGGCCAGATATTTGGAGGTGTGGAAAGCAATTATGTTGGCCCAAATATGCTGATCCATTGGACTTTTTGGGATTCCCTGCGTATGCGTTGACTGGCTTATGGTGTACCTCCAAGCTTGACCACCAGATCTGGCCATCTGGCACGCTGAAGAGTGAGGGAGTATGATGGTCATCATGTTGGCGTGTGCACTGTATTCCCTGAAAAATAATAAGAAAATGCAATTTGCTGGAGGCAGGGATCGAACCCCTGACCTTCAGCCTTTGAACGCCTTAAGGCAGACGTGGCTGCCACTGGAGCGCTTGTGTTTGTTTGTTATAATAATACAATATAATAATAATATATAAAACAAAATCAATGGCCAACAAAAAAGAAAAAGCGTGCGCGTTGTTTGAACCGGCCTATGGATGGATGACACGACTGCTTCTTCTTCCTCTCTCCGTGGCCAAAAATCAAAACACCTATACCAACGGACAAAGGTTCGTCTCTACAAGCTTGTTCATCCTCAAAATTATGTACAGTCCATAAAAATAGGTTCTAAGAGCATGGTTGGATTCGTCTCAACCTACTGATCACAACCATAACCATTATGTAGGCTAATTGTACCTGAAAATAAAAGCCCCAAAAAACTCCACGAAACCCTAATCATGGTGAATCACAGTATATGTTATGTAAATGAAAATGATTAATGTAAAAAGCTTGCAAATGGCATGGAGATCACAAATATGCAGTTATTTTGTATTAACAATGCCTAATTTACGAAATATGAAATCAAGAATAGGGCGGATTTGTGAGAGACTTACAGCGTTTGGGAGGGTCTGGAAACGCGTGATTTTAATTGGTTTAGGTTGTGGAAGCTGCCAGGAAATGATTGAGACAAGTCTCAAGTCTTGAAAATGCCTCTAGACTTGATTTCGATCTCACACTTTTTTGGTGTTTTTGCAAACTTTGTTCTTGCTCTCCAATTGATCTCCAATCCTTATTTCTGTATCCCTTGCTTCCTTATGTAATGCACAATGTATTAGGGTAAACAATTATGTCCAAATCTTCCTCCATTGATGATTTTGATATTTGATTTGATCCTCGATTAAAGCTTTCCAAATTTGATCCAAATCACATCTTTATGTACCCACATGGATTGATACAAGTTTGGAAGGATGCTAGCTGTGTAACAAGACCTGAAATTATCACAAGATCTTTAGTTTTCAATGTTTTTGATTTTATTTGATTTATTTTGATTTAATTAAAATTAATTCAAATAAAAATCAAAATAATTAATAAAAATGTGAGATGGACACATGGCCAAGGCTAGAGCACGTGGGAAATAATTCAAATTCAAAACAAGTGAAAAAGAATGGGCCCATTTGGCAAAATTTGAAGTGTTGGGGATAGTTTACTTTTAGCAATTTTGCAAAAAAAAGTCCAACTTCAACAATGCATAACATCCTCAATTTTGAGCTTTTGGAGGTGTTCTTGGAATTTTTAGAAATCTTGATATGTCCTCTAATCAAACCTTTTTGACCCATCTCATTTTTATATTCCATTCTCAAGTTAGAAGCTTTGACAAAAAGGGTGTTTTTGTTGACTTTCAAAAATGACCTATAATGTCAAAATTCATAATTTCTTGTGAGTGCATATTTTTATCTTGTGGTATGAAGATGGATTGTAGGGAATTAAATCCTATTCAAAATGAGCTTTGGATGGATCATTTCCCATAAAGTATGAGAAAGTTATGCTTGGTCAAAGTTGAGTTGACTTTTCCTACAAAACCCTAATTTAGCAACTTTTGAATCTTGATAAATTTTGAGCAATCCTTGATGAATCATGATCAACCCTTGATCAAATGATGAAATATATTTCAAAATGAGAATGTTGACAAAAAATCTTGAAGTTTGACTGTATTTGGGTCACAATTGACTTTTGCCCTAGCATAGTCGATTTTTGGACCTTTTGAGCAATTGAATGAGCGAAATTCCTCTGCAAGGCTTGAAACTTGACATGGATGATCTTGAGAACATATTAGGACATTGGTGAGAACTTGGGGTCACTTGGACTCAAGGATCTTGATGCAACACAAAACCCTAATTTGAGTAGACTGCCTTAGGAGAGAGCTTGTCTGGCGAACCCTTGGATTATTTTGAGCAATTTGGAGATCTTTCTTGCAATGTTTTGAGAAATATGGGAGGGAAAATTTTGGAGTACAACACAAAAGAAAAATAAAATATAGAATAGATATGTAACTAAAATAAAAGTTATCTAGACTAAATTGAAATTCTAAATTTACTAAATTAGATCTAAACAAAATAAAATGACTAGAAACTATACTAATATAGTTTTTTTGGTATTTTTATAAGGGGAAAGAAATAATTACAAACCTAAACTAATGTTTTTGTATGGAATTTTAATAAAATAAAACTAAATAACCTAAAACTAAGAAAAAGGATCAACACCAGGGATTGAACTCAAGACCCCAAGAATGTATCCCTTTTACCTTTCGACTAAGTCAAGTTGTTTTTCTGCTATATATACATCTTTAATTAAAAATAAAAGTAAAAAGTTGAGTTAAAATGAGAAAAAACAGAATAATGATAAAAATGTCCCAGGGGAGGCTCGAACCCATGACCTGAAGGATTCACACACACACTCTTACCATGGCGCCATGTTGTTCAATCGTTTATTCTATGCTTAAAATTAATTAAGTAACAAAAAGAGTCTATGGGTTTAATGGAAACAAAAAATGTAGTAAAGAGATAAAATGTTCCCCCTGGGTCTCAAACCCAGCCCCTCACGCTTGCCAATTAACGCCTTAACCGCTGCACCATGTCGCTTCATTCGTTATATTTACAGTTTCAATTAAAAATAAAATGAACTTACGAAATGGGTTAGGCCAAAAATTAAGCCCAAACCCGGTTTTGTTTTAGGAAATAGAGGAACATAAAGGGTTTTGTAAACCCTAAATAAACCGCCACGGATTACTGTATAGGGAAGAGGAAAATTTTACATTGATTTAAAATTAATTTGTCTCCCTCACGCTCTCTCTGCTTCCTCTATCCGTGAAAACAACAACAAACCTTCATCTCCATTAAAACCGCCCCTCAATTATCGTTTCCTCAACCTCTCATCTCAGTTATGCTATCTTCTCTCTCCTTCTGTCGTATCCCTCAACATCACCTCTGTCTCCATTTTTCATTTTCATTTCTTTCACTCACATCTCTCTCAATCTCTGCTCCGACTTCTCTATTCTCAATCAAGAAACAACCTGTTTCATTAAGCCATAGATAAAAAATAAGGGAAGAAATTGGGAACTTACAAGTGAGGATGGATTTGACGCGATTGTGGTGGGTCAGGTGTCAAGGATGTTGTCGTTGTTGATTTCTAGTGGTGGGATGCAAGGCGGAATCGTGGGTGTTAAGGGCTGCTCGCGGATAAAGACTTCTTTGTATGCTGATGCAGTGTCAGAGTCGTGTTGTAGTGTGAATCGGAGAGTGTGGAGTTCCAGATGTGGGGGGATTTACGGTGTCTTTGTGATGAAAGGAGGGAGGTTTTGGTGCCGATTATAGGTATAAACTGTTTTTATTTCTCTTCTTGATCTCCTTCTGTAAATTGCGATGTTATTCTATTATGCTTTTATTGTTGTTTTTGTATGAATCTGTGTTTCTATCATATTGTAGGGGTTGTTTGTAGGTACATTTTAGTTAATTTTTGAAGTTTATTAGGGCTTGTATGAAGGTTCAGGTGGGTTGAGGTTAAAGGTGGTTCTGGGTGAGTGCGATTAACATTGGTCAGGTTGTAAGTTGTAGGGTGTGAGATTGTGCAAGGTTTAAAGGCTTTGAGTAAATGATGATTTTAGAGTTATAATTTGTTGATACAAAGAGGTTTTATGAGGGTTTGTTTTGTGAGACATAGTTGTGAGTTCCGAGTTATTTTGAGGGTTGATGCAAAGTGATAAAGAGGCAGAGGTTAGAGAATTATTTCTGAGATGGTGGTGGTGATTCTTCAGAGGGTTGAAGAATGTCATTTTGATAAGGAGAATGTGTTGTTTATATAGATGGAAGTGAGTGATAAATGGAGGTAGAATTGAAGATGAATTTGAATTATTTTAGCATACTTTTTCAATGCTTTCTAATGCAGTGTTTTGCCTTGATGATTCTGTGCCATGTTTAGATTGATATGATGCAGATTTTGCAGTATTATGGACTGATTTAATGCATGTTATGGGGAAGAATTTGGACTAATGCATTTGGAGTTTGTATGGCTCATTATCTCAAGTTTTGGACACGCTTATGCACAGGTTATGCAGCACTGGGTTCAGACTGTTTATGGCAGCAGTAGCAGGCTGTTTTTGTAGCAGGATTTGTAGGGATGACTTTTGTCTGGTTTTGACTATCTTGATAGCAGGTTTTATGACTAGTGTGTAGTGTGATGTAGGGCAGGTTTATGCAGCCATAACAGCCTATTTTCGTAAGGCTATTTGTGCAAAATTTGGACTGTTTTGTTTTATTGTGGATGCAGGTATGCACATGGCTGTTTTGGAAAGGTTTATGCACTGGCTTTGGACCATTTTTTGTGCCAAATTTGGATGGTTTTGGGCAGCAGCTTGCAGGGTAATGCAGGGCTATTTTTCTCTGGTGATATCTTTCTGATCTTAGCCCTTTTTTTTCTGAAAACTTTGTGACTGGTATCTTTTCCTCTTTTATAATTCCTAAGGGGTTTTGTGACATTAAGGAAAATGATGAATAGATTTTGTGTTTGCCTCGCGTGAACTCTTCATTTATCTGACTTATTCTGAACTTGATTGTTGGTCAGTACTTGCTTCTTCTGTGACGCTTTTGTTGTTTTTTTCGTTGAAGTGTTTACAATGACTCGTCTCTTCTTAATGTGAACCAAACTTATTTTTGTGATTTGCAATAGGAATTTTCTTAGGCCAATGATAGAATATGATTTGTTTGCAAGATAATGAGGCTTTTGTTTGGCATATGATAGAATTCAAACCCTTGTTTCTGATTCCTTCACAAAATCCCTAATGATGAATTGTGAGATACTTGCTTGAAAACTTCTTGTTTTAATGATGATTAAACTAACCAATTTTCTCTCTTTTTATTTAATGTGATGGTCGTTGATTAGAAGGTGAAGAAGGCATGGCAAGGTTGAAGAAAGGATTGTGGCTAACATGAAGCTTGAACACATATCATGTATTTTTAGTAGTTTTTTAGGAACCTTAGGCCTAGGATATAAATATGAAATCTCTTTGTTTGTGAGTGATGCGATGTAAATGGAAATGGTATGATAAACTTGAAACATTTGAACCATTGTAATTTGAATTCATATTGAAATAAAAGTTCCTTGATCTACTTTGAACTAACTATGGTGGAAAGCTCTTGAAGCTATGAAAGAGTTATGAATGTAATTTGATAGAACATAAATTTTGTATTTTGAATGAACTTAGATGGTAAATTTTGAAATCCTTTGCTTAGTTGAATTTGAACTATGTCTTGCAAATTGTAACTTGTAAATTCACTTCCAAGAAATACATTTCCTTTCCAAGCTTGCAAGCATTGAACCATTTTGACTCATTTAAACGTTGTAGACAACTTGATTGAATATTATCCAACAATGTATACAAATCTCTTCATCCCTCAAAGAAACCATATCTTCAAATATCAAGCAATCAAATACTTGCATTACAAACAAAAAATTATCTTGATCATAACTTGAATTTACAATCGTAATCACATGTATCACGACTCAAACTTTGTAACTCAAACCAAAAGCCTTTACTTTGATGAAGTTCACAAAACAAAACCTTAAAAGGATATCCTTATGAAAAGATAAATTAGGCATGAAGCATAGAAGGATAACTCTCTTTGAAACAAAACCCTAATCTTACGATTAACAGTAGGGAAATAAACCCTAAATCAGGATCTTGACTGAAACCATTGATGAACCCTTGAGAACATGCAAGCGACAAACCTAACATCTATATTGATGGACTTCAACCAACCCATCCATGAAGGACGCAAAACCCTACTCCATATTAGCTTCCCATTGGAATGAAGAAAGTGGTTTGATGACCCTCAGTAAAGAGAACTCTTGTGATGATGGAGGGACAAAACCTTAGATATCGAGGAAATGATTCTTAAGATAGTCACGATATCAAAACCCTAATTCACAAGTCCAATGCACAAGAGAAAAACCAGATAAGTCTACCTTTATTTTAACTGAAGGAATCTCAAACCAATGGAAACCCTAATCTCTGACTGAATAACTTAGGAGATGGTAACTGAGGAGAAAACCCTGATTTTTAGTCGCACATAAGGAAATAAGCCCTAATCCAAGATCTTGATGAACTTTAATGAGAAAAGGCCTTGTACATGGATGAATAAGAAACTCATGATAATTATACTTCAAAACATGATTCCACTGTCCACTGTCCAAGGAGGAGCCAAGGAAATCAACTATATAATGTAGAAACCTCAAACCAAAAGTGAACCCTAGTTAGAACCACCACTGATGCTTCAAACCACAACCTTATTGAAATGCAAGAATGATGTGTGAGTGACCTAATGAAAATGATGCAAATGAAATGAAAAGCCTAAGATAGATAAAGGTGAAAAGGTAGGGAAAATTTTGGGATACCATAATATACTCTGCCAAAAAGGCTCTAAAGATGAGTTTTTCTAATTTTACGTTGGGGAACTGGAGGATTTCAAGATTCTTCTGTCCTTCTCGGACTTTGAGGTAGATATATTGAAGACCGTGAATGTCACGCATTCTCAACTCCATCTCAACAACTCGGGTTTTATAAAAGTTTTTGAAATATATTGTGAGGCGACGGACATTGTTCCCACCGTAGGCCTATTCTTTTCTTTCTTTGAGGTGAAAGGGGGTTGAGAAGTGTGACTGGATTCTGATCAGCGGCATCCCCCACAAAAGCTTCCTTTAGGCATACACCACGAATTACAAGGGCTTTAAGGACTAATTCCTACCGGTCGAGATGCCCTCGAGTATTATATGCTTTAGATGGGAATCCATGTTTTCCTCACTAAAAGACTATGGATCCACTTCCAATCTCCAATTTTACATATGAGAAGCTAGCGAATCGAAGACGCAAGCTCTGAGTGTACTTGACTCCTTCCAAATGATGAGGGTCAGAGATTTTTTGCCTTTAACTATCGAACAAATTCTAGATTTTCTTGGTAATTGTTTTTCTATTTACTTAATAGTCGTGTCTGACTTCTGAAAGTATTCATACTGTCTCTTTTTGTGTTTCCATTTTGTAGACAAAATGACATATCTATTTGTTTCCGAACAAAAGAAATTGATGTTGGAGGCCCGTGTTGCCCGTAAAGGAGTTAGGGGTCCCTCCGTGGTAAAGTCTGACCTAACCGGGATGGAAGCTTGAATGTTGAAGAGGTAAAAGGTAACTGGAACCAAGGCACCTTCTAATATTGCTGAGCCTCAAATCTCCGCTCCATCCTTTCATGAGGAATCTTACCAGGGTACTCCGAAGAAGCATAAAACTCTTATGAGTGACGATGTCTGTCGTGCAGATTTGGAGATTACTTCCTTGATGCAAGAAACTGGGGAAGGCAACTCCAAATCCACGGGGGAGTTTTTGTTTTTATCGAACAACTTTGATGGAATCTGATTTCTTTACTACACTCTTAACACAAATGAGTATGTTTCGAAGGTTAAGACTACAGGTCCTCAAAAGATGACCCAAAATATTAGTTCTTACCTTACAGGGTGTGCCATGTTGACTCGAGGATTATGAGAAACCCGAGTTGAAGCGCAAGAATGAGATTACTCAATTAAAGGATAATGAAAAGACCTATTCTGAGAAGATAGCTAGTTTGGAGAAAAGTTTGTTCGAGGAGAAGAAGCAGAGGGAAACTTTGGAATCGGAGAGCAAGGCTTCACTTTCCTAGCTTATCGAGAAGTTAAAGTCGACAAAATCTTCTAACTTCGAGCTTATGGAGACCCTCTGGAAGTCCCAAGTTGATCTTCTTTCTGTTGGTGATAAGGCTTTGGATAGGGCCAAGGATCAGGTGTTGTTCCTTCATCCCGTCCTGGATTTATCTGAGATGGACTTCTTTAAGGTGGTGCATGATGGCCGCCTTGAGGAGGTGGAAAATAACCCCTACCCCAAGACGAATCTTGAAGACCCTATTGGCGAGGATAACAAAAAAGGAAATAGGAAGGACAACTTGGTTGAGTGATGTATTTCTATTTTTCCATTTTGGTTAGACATCCACTAAGATGTATTTATTTATTTTGTATGGGAGTGCAGTTTTGTCCCCCATTTTTTCTGTTATGACCGTGAATTCTGCCCTCCGGGGATTTGTAATGAACAACCTTTTGCCTCTTGAGGATTTATAATGATGTTATTTTTTTTGTTTCTATTTATTTGCTTGATCTACAGATTTCAACATCACAATTTTTAAAATAATCCTGCGTATGTACCCAAGCCCCTCGGGCACGAAGTCCGTAGGGCTTAAGTGTCTGATTACATAATACCAGGTATTATTTTAAGCCTATTAAATGGGAGCTCCAGTGAGTTTAATATTTTTTCGTTAGGATCTTTTCATAGATTTTTGTTTACAACCATATGCTGCTTGTAAACTCGGTTTGCTTATTTGTTCGTTATTTGTAAGTGTTGAATACTTGCGACGTGATTTACACATGTGCTGGATTTTGCAGGCACAAAGTCCCCAAGAGTGAGTTTTCGGACACAAGTTTTCTTTTTGGATTAAGACCCTAAACTTGTTTGAGGTTGGGTTTTGTCCCTTTATTCATGGCCTCAAGCTGGTGAGCTCCAAGTGAAATTCTTAAGATATGTATTAATTATGGGAGTTACCATGAAGGAAGTTATCTTGGCGACAAGAATAGTTATATCCTGGATGTTGAGTCTATCTGCATTGGATTTTGAGTTTCATGATTGCTCGAGATTTTTAGTTTAGAGCCCTTTTTACCACGAGGTCGAGGTTGACCAAGTATTTATGCCTGAGGTGTCGCGTGGACTTCAGTTAGGCCAGAGATTTTATTAACATTACCCGACCGAAGTTGATTATGCTAGAGGCTTCAATTTCACTTGGACTTAAGTCGGGTAAGAAATAACTCAACTTAGCAGAGAATTTTACTTGATTCTGCGACCGATGAATGTCAAATTAATCTAGGGAGTGTATCCAATTGAAACTTAACTCAAATTGGTAAAGTACTCGACTCTCGGTGGAGGAGTGTCAACTCAATCCGGGATTCGGAGAGTGCAGCCGGCTGAGACTTAACTCAGAACTAGTAAAGTACTCAACTTTTGGATATGAGTGTCAACTTGGTCCGCAGGCCGGAGAGTGCAGTCGGATGAGATTTAACTCAGATCCAATAAAGTACTCAACTCTTAGATAAGGAGTGCCAACTCGATCCAGGGGCCAAAGAGTGTAGTCGGCTGAGACTTAGCTCAGATTCGATAAAGTACTTAACTCTTGGATAAGAAGTGTCAACTCTATCTGGGGGCTAGAGAGTGAAGCCAACTGAGACTTAACTCAGATTCGGAAAAGTGCTCAAATCTTGGATGAGGAGTGTTAACTCGATCCGGGGGCCGGAGAGTGTAGTTGGCTGAGACTTAACTCAGATTCGGCAAAGTACTCAACTCATGGACGAGGAGTGTCAACTTGATCCGGGGACCTGAGAGTGCAGTCAGATGAGACTTAACTCAAATTCGACA